TTAAAATCACGTCAAGAATGCAATGTTTCTTCTAAATTACTTTATTCTGAAAATATAAGTAGTCTAAGAGTCTTGAAATTTTGTCAAAGATCAGCTTTTTTATTTTTTTTCGAAAAAAGGACACAGTATACTTTTTCCTAATTGGTCATCGAAATTCACGGGTTTTCCGGTTTTTTTTTTCAAGTGACTTCGAATTCCCGCCTTTTTCTCGGTTCACTGGTCACAGTTATCTGAACTTTTTAGAATGTTGTAGACTTTCTGCGAAACGAAGTTTCTCAGACTTGATCAACGTTCCCAATTCTACAATGCATTCCCGAATTTTTACAAAGCCCCCTGAATTCCTAAAAAATCCTCTGAAGCTCTACGAAGTTCCACGAATTTATATTAAATCGCCTGAATTTCGACGATGTACGATGAACAAAATCCTTAAAGTTTTAAAAACTCTAATAAAATTGAAGAGAAATCCCAGAGTTTCATCAACAAAATTCACTTATATTCTCTAAAGCTCGCAAATGTTCAACCATGTTTCATGAAGTTCTACAAAGTTCTCTTATCTTCTATGAAACTTGCTGAAGTTAGTCTAGTCGAATCTATGACATGGTCGAAGGACAAAAGTCTTAGGAAATAAGGTCGAATAGACAAAAGGTCGACATAAAATAATGGAGACAAAAGATCGAATGGAACAAAAGATCGAATAGGACAAGAGGTTGAATGAACAAAAAGTCGAAATATACAAATAGTCAAATGGGACGAAAAGTCGAGTCGACATAAGGTTGAATTAAATTTAATGGGACAAAAGGTCGAAAATGATAAAAGGTCAAATTGGAAAAAAAGGACGCATCGATCGAATGGACAGACCTTTTGTCTATTCCACCTATTGTCCTTCGTTTTTGTCCTACAAGTGCATGTATCAAGTTATTGTTAGCCCTTTGCCTGTATCTTGGGGTCAATATGACCTCAGGTAATTTTAGAAATTTTGATTATTCATCAAAACGATTTTTTCTATGACATTTTTGCATGCTAAAGTCTTTTTGATGTACCTGCCTCTTAGTTGAGACATATTCCGAATTTTATTTAACACTCGTTTTGCAGGATTTTCAAAATGAACTGGCTTTATTTTAGAGGTATAGACAAAGGGTTAATAAACAAGTTTTAATCGATTTCACTCCACTTCAGACGCATGGCCATTTTGTCGCTTAAGGTGGACATCCTTGCCCCGTAGCATATTCAACAGGCAGATAAGACAAGAGGTTTTGAAAGGTCTTGGTACATCAAGACAATATCATAAACTTGCAGTTCGGTGTACAAACTACTATAAAATCCATGATATGGAACACATAGAACGAACAATACTTAGGGTGGCACATTTGCCCCTAAATCCTCTGCCTATTTACATATTCAGGTCGATTTGAAATATCTACATCATATTACAAATTGGGAATTCTCAAAACTTCGCGAAATTAGAGGCTTAGGTACCCGAGATAAAACCGATAACTAACCGATAACATATGAATATCTTAATGTCTTATTTTTATATGCTTGTGATATAACACCTTGTTTTGTTATTACTCAGTTATCGAAATATTTGGTAAAATATCAAATAAATACCAAAATAACTAAACGTGATCTTTCAGTTTTTAGACAACAACCCGAGCAGGAAACAAATATCTAATTTAGACCTAATACCAAAACTTGGTATTGATCAGCATGACAGCGTTTAGTATCCGTCAGTTATTACAATAACTAAACTACACACTTAGAAAATAATACCAAACTCGGTTTAATTTTCTGCCGAACCTCTTCGGTTACCAACGAGAAACCGAATAAATGGTTTAAAAACATTTTTTCAGGCGTATTTATCGAATCAGACCCTAATTTCGGTAAAATAGTATAAATTTGTCAGATGGCAATGAAGACTGAACTTAAAAGTACGCTAATGCATCACTAACTAGGTAAACTGAACCGAATATTTGCTAAAACATGTTGAACGTCAAACGCTTAAACGAAATTTTTACCGAAAACTCGGTTCTCTAAGCTGAGTCTAAAAGTAGGCAGCCCTTTTTTTCTCGCGTGACGTGTGCAAAACTTTAGTAAAAATGGAAAAAGTTCTGGAGCAGCTGCAACAGGAGGATGCACGTTTGATTGAAATCTTTTGTAAGTATTTGAAAATAACGGTACGAGTTTATTTGCAGGCATCTTGTACTATAGTTTGTTTCTCCTGCCGTGAAAATATACAAGGTTATGTCTCTGGCTTGCAAAGGCATTTTAAAACCCATTTGAATAAGAATGACTTCAAAGTCAGTGATGTTTTTTTGACTGTACTTTTCCACGCTGTAACTCGCGTTACGGAAGTTTTTATTCGTCAAAACAAATTAAATAAATATATTCCATACATTTCTTTGACAAAACTGGTTTTATTTCAAAATTTAAAGCAGGATTTGAAGTGAAAACCGAGCGCTGCCAAGAGAACCGAATTCCGTAAATACAACAGATGGGTCGGTTTGTTTGACAGCGTTCGGTAATTCTTGAGTAAACCGATGTTCGGTTATTTCTGCTTAAATTTCATCATCAATTTCATCAACCGAGATTTTCGGTAACTTTGACAGATTGTGGGTAGTAAAAATAACTAACGACAGCTCGGTTATTCCTCTTTGAACCGAACAGACTACCGAGAGTTCAACAGATAAAAACTCGGTTGAAATCAAACCGAGTTCGGTAATATTTTCTTAATGTGTTCAAAGGACCTACAATTATATCTTGGAGTGGCACAATAAGTGGAAAGTACTTTTGAAGAAAGGTCTATTAAAAATTAAGACAGTTGCAACTCGAGGGGAAAAATGTAATACCCGCGCAGGAACGAATAGCTCGATACTTTCCATTTCGTCAAGCCAGTGTAGACTACATACAATGATTATTACAATGTTTACTTACATATTTATACTTACATATTTATACACTTTAAATTGGTATTATAAGAGGTAAAGTACCAAAGAATAATACCAAAAAATGTTCCCTCAATATAATTCCAATACCACATTATTATTAAACAATACCAAAACAATACCACATAGGTATTCTTTTCTTATCCAAATATCATTTTTTGTTATTTGTGAAGTATTGTTTTTGGTATTATTCTTTGGTATTTTACCTCTTATGTCAGGCATATCAACACCAAATTTGGGTACCAGGAACAGAATGAGGTATTCATTAGTTATATTATCCTGCTCTGAAATTCTGTGGACACTGCAAACAGAGTCAAAAACACCTAAAACGACGAGAAGCTCAAAAGGCTTGTTCAGTCTTACAACCTAGCAGATTGGCTTAGCTAGCTGACTTGTGTAGCTTTCGTATTAATAAGTAAATAAGCTTATTAATTGGTAGATTATTATTATTTATTATTCCTTCGTCTTCAATGTATTCGTTCGAACTGCAACTTAATCTAAATTTATAATTCTATTACTGAACACATTTTTTAAATAAATCTGAAATCTGAAAACGGCATCCACTTTCTCAGCTTTATTTAGTACTCTTCGATCTGATCCAGAACTTTGTCGATGGTTACATAAGTGTAGCACATTGGTCAAACGTACTATTTTTTTTCTTTCTTTTATTTAACGTCGGTCTCTGTTCCGCAATCTAGTGCCAATCACCGACGGACATCGATTGCCATCCATTGACGGCAATCGAATGTGCAGGAAGGCAGTTTCCACACCTGCGTAGGATATCGCACCCATTCAACAACACACATGGGCCGGGACCAACGGCTTTACTTCCCTTCCGAAGGAAGACGTGACCAGAGATTGTTATGCCTCAGAAAAATCCCACCGACCTCGACTGGGATTGAACCCAGACCCATTGGGGTGTTAGAAAGCAGTCACGCTTACCACTACACCACCGGCGCCGGCACACGTACTAATAGTTTTCTAAATTGTATATCTCACTCTTGTACTATCTACAACTGGAACAGGTAATCGGTATGTGTATCGTCACCTTAGCTACGGCAAAGAGATGATATTTTAGATCCGTCTTTATTCGCTTGAGAACCACCTTCACGGACACGATATTTTCCTATGGCCTTGCCACGGTGATTCAGATCCGTCTTCATTTGCAAATGAATGGCCGATTATTTATCTTCTTTCGGGGTTCTGAACCAATATACGTAATGTACGTCGTTTTCTTGGAATTGTCTATCCTTGAAAGATCGCCAAAATGAAAAAAAAAATTGGAAAGGAAAATCACCAGATGATGCCGTCGATGCAGTTTGAATCCAAATGAGGGCCCGGTGAAAACGAAGTGAAGTGACAAGTTGACAACCATGGTGAAGTGATTCCCGGGCACTTCACCGTGCGTGAAAAGTTGACACAATAAGGGCCGAGATCTTGTAAAGTTGTCAAGAGAAATACCATTCATAAAAACATAGCACACCTTTCTATTCTTTTCCTCACATTCCCTTTCCTGTTCCTCCAATATGCCAGCGCATGTAATAACTATAACTAGTCAGTTCAGCACCCATCTATGCTAGCTATATGTCATCATTCTTGGTGACATTAGAATCTGTGTAATATGTTATGCACAAACTCTAGGTTACATCATTTTGCACCAGCTGGAACAATCGTATTCTTGAGTGAGATCCAAAATCATTTCGCTAGCATACGACCTCGCTTCGCTTCTGTCATGTTACGCCTTATTGCCAAGTGAATTCTGCTCAAATTGTTTGTCATCAAGTTCAACCACATTCGTCGAAATATAAACGCAACGGAAACCCGCACTTCGTTGAACCTACTCGTTTCACATTGATGAGATACTTCTAGCAAATGAGTATCATCTGCTACGTAATCAAAATATCCCTTCCATTCATCAACAGAGAAGACCAACAGTTTTGCTTGATAGATAGCCGAGTCCATGATTAACTTCATGACGAATTTATTTCCATCTTACATCATTCGGCACAGGGGTGCTATATTGGAGATTAATACGAAATATTCCAGCCAAACACTCACCTTCTCATCCTTAGATTCCATCAGCATATCAAGCCAGTTGTAAATCGCACCATCCTCAGCCAGCAGGCTCGGGTCGAAACAGGGGCCACAGCAAAGCAAAGCGGAAGTTGCCTAGGGAATTGACGAAATAGCAAATAGAGAACGATAGATTCAGATCAGAACGAAGGCAATAAATGTCAGCGAACGTGATTAATAAAAGATTTTATCTCGTTTAATCTGTAAAAGCCGGTAAATCCGTGAGCGCAAAATGAATTAAGGATTCGTATCGGTAAATTGCGATAAAGTGTAGTGAATGAGAAACAGATTTTCCGTCTAAACGAAATCCACAACCCGGCCAGTGTAATAAATGACAGACTACTATCTTCTTAATTAGTTCACAAAAAGTTTAATAGGATTTGAAAATCTAACTATGGCGCGAAAAGAACAATTAATGCATGGCTGAAAACGGTTTAATTAATGTTACCAATCCGATTTTCTATAGACTTACCAGTAAGGCACTGTACTGCAACTTTTCCTCGTCAACAGAAATGTTGCTGATAGTGCTGCTGTTAACTGCTTGATGACTTGTTCCGGTTGTGTTACCAAATGGTATTGAATATGAACCACTCCAAGAAGTGAATAAATTAACTAAATTCCGCTTCAACTCACGCGAAAGTAACGTGGCGCATGACTCCAGCGAAAAGTTTTTAATCATCTTCCGAATGAAATCACAGAAATGAGTTTTCACTTCACGCATGCTGCTATTATCCTTATCCGTTTCTGCCTCCAGGTACAGCCGTGCGCCATCGATGTACTCGACGAACGTCGGATGAAGCGACATGCTTTCCCGTTCCAGAACGAAAGGACTAATACCGAAAGTGCCATTTTCGACAATTTTCTCCAACACTCTGACCAACTGAAGACGTAGAGCGTCACGACGCCGTCGACGACGCATGTTCTCTTGCTTGCGGTCAATTGCCTCGCGAATGTACACCACCAGCTCCTCCATCAAATCTCTGCGTAGGTTTATGAAAACTGCGAATTAGCTTTGACCGTAGTGTCTAACAACTTAATCAACTTACTTCAGGGCATCATGGTTGATCATTCCAAGCGCGTTTACAGCAGCATCACGGATGTCGGTTACTTCACACCGTAGCAACGGTATGACAAGCTTGTAAAGAGCCACCGGTGATGCGGCTGTACCACTGGACTTGTCGCTGCGATCCGCGGACAATGAATCCGGCGATGAGCTGTAAAAGGTGGGTGCGGAAACAATGCTTCAGTTAGCGTACATTGCAAGCGAAATCATATCTATTATAAAATGGTTTATCTAGCGATGAAGCAAATGAACTGGCAAGAAAGTAATACTTTGTAATTTTTGCGTGCGGCGATGTGCTGAGTGACTGTAAATGGGGCTATTCTTGTTGTTTTTGGTTGAGCATTCTAGTAACGTGGCTGAAATTCTAAGCTATTAAGTAATATCCATATACTTTTATACTATTTCACTTTTGTTGGCGTGGATGATAGCATATTAAAAAAACGCTTGGGGAACCATGCATAAATGACGTAGCATTTAAGGCGAGGGAAGGGGGGTTTCAGAAGTTGTGACCGGACAAGTATTAGGTATAGCAAAATACGCTACAAGGGGAAGGGTGGGGTCTAAAATCGGTCAAAAATATGCTGCGTCATTTGTGGATGTCCCTTACGAGAAGACGCTCAGTCATGTAAACACACATATCTTCACTTTACTTAAGTTACTGAGTGCATAAATGTGATATTCCATCACGGGGACAGTTTATGGAGGTGGGAGAACCGCATGGTTTATATATTTGTTTTTAAATATTTGTATGGGTGATTGTTGAAGCAGGATGAAAGAGGGATCATAAACTGTCACCATGGTTTGTCGACAGCCACTTATTGCATTTAGCTTGTTAATAAATGTCTGGTTTGAAATGGAATAAAATGTGTATGTTGCACCCAACAAAATGACATACAAGGCTCCGAACACATGGTGCACCTCAAAGTATTTGGAGATGTTTTCCAAAGTTTAAAAAATATGACAATACAATGTCTTGAACATCCTTGAAATATCGTGGTCTGTTCGCTTGTACTACTGCCTTTCTCAACTGTTGCTGATTTCGATGCGTATCACGTGATAGCAGTTATTGTTCAGTGTGCTTTGTTCACCATCTGCAGTTTGCTTGGTCGATCTTATTGCGACCTTTTTGTGATGAGTGCCCAGCATCAAAATGACAGCAAATTGAAATCAAGTTTAGATATCAACATCAAACTGAAATCATAATTTGATTTCAGTTTACACAATTGAAATTTGATATAGGTATTAGGATTTTGTTTTCATTTTGCTGTACATTTGCTCTTCAGAAATTTGTTGTTGCGGGTTTGTTTTCATTGCCTTAGCATAACATCAAATTTAATACTAGTTTTGATATAAACAGGAAAAATGGATATCAAATTTTGTTTTCAGTTTGCATGTATAAAGTAATATATCATTATACTTCTACCACTCCGATCGAGCTATGTTACAGAGCGAGGTTGTCATGGTAGTCGTAGCAACAGTTTTGTCTGTATCGTTGGTTGCTTTATGTGTTTAGATTCGCTACTTATGAGCACTCTAAAAAAATCAAAAATTGAACAAGGACATTTCGAGATAAGGGAATTTACGTATTCTCGTCAATCTAAGCACGCGCAATTTCTCAGCGTCACTCACACATATGACGTGTTTGTTTATTTTCATTTATCTGCTGCTTGCTATTTTATCTATTCCAATTGACAGAATTGTCCAAAACGGATTGAAAGCGTTTTTACAACGCTCGATACTTCTCAGGTGAGTGTGACTATTCTCAGCAGCCTCTTTTTCTTCGGAAACCTTTCCATTTGAACTGCATGTTAACCAGCGGTCATTATCGGCATCTCGAAATCAGCCGTATTATAAAGTGCGTATATTTCATTTGAAGAAAGACCTGACATAACAGGTTTGCTCAGTCGTAAACATGTAATCAAAATGAAGCTGAAAGACTAAGGAATCGTTTAAATACATCCAGCGAAGTGTTTTGGTGAGAAAATATAGCAAAATTAACGTTTAAATTTCCGTTGCCGAAAACAGTCAATTGGTTCCGAAGGCGAAGGAATTTTTACTCAAAATTACAACAACAAAAAATTATCGTGTATATTTTTCCTCGATGTTGACCCGACATTGGCCCGACATAAACCCAAAATTTACCCGACAACAACACGACATTGGGTCGATATCGACCTTACAGTACCTTACGTTGATCCGACATCGGGTCGACTTGTCTGTTCGGGACTATTTTGCTGGGTTTCTTCTATACTCCATTGTCGTATATCAAATGATAGTGAGTGACACAATTGACAGTGACGATGAGCTTCGAATGAGAAAGGGGCTCTTCAAATTATGGTCATGTGGGAATTCGTTTTCACAGAATTGATTGAATGGTTGTATTGGTTCATCTTCAATCGAATGATATGAAAATAAACAGCACTGGTTCTAAGGTCATAATGATTTAAAAAACTCCAAAATGGCTTGAAACGCCAAAACAGCCAAAAAGATGCCTAACCCGTACGATGTGAAAAAAGTGTGCGTTTGACTTGTACTGTCGCATTAATGGCCCTTCGCTGATTTTCAACTGCCGTACTCTGACGGAACACTCTACCCATCTTCTTCTAAAACCATACTCTAGCTAATAAATTATCACTCTAAAGCTTCATGTCAGATAGCATTTCCAACCAACTCTGAATTTAAAGAATATTCAGTTAAATTAAGATGAGAAATTTGAAGTTAATTAAAAAGAATTTTAATTTCGAAGCAATGCTCTGACATCCTTTTACAAAATTGGGTTGTTTAGGGGTATTGAGAAACACATATTCGTTATCTGCATTAAAAATGGAACCGAAATCCAAAATTTCATCATTTTACATTGGAACTTTTTTTAAATAAGTACGATTACATTATCAAAAATCGCCATCTTAACGCCTCTTTGTGGGACTTTGTATACGAGCGAGCTGTCAACGAATAGATTTAGTGTCAACGATCAAACATTTAAATCTTAATTTCAAAATCGAGATGAATGTCTACGGGATCGATAAAAATATCGTTGTGCTCAGAAAACGAAGATCTATCAGATGATGCATAAAAATCGTTATATTTTTCGTAAGTTAAACAACCCAATTCTGGGAAATAACCTACGGATTTTTGAAATTTCATGATAACTTACTTATCGCGTACTTTGGACCATCTTTGGCGGAGTTGGGGAAACGCACCTATTTTGGCCCTGATCTGACGATATTTAACGTTTTTTTTTATTATAAGTTTAAGGTCTTGAGTTCTGTTAAGATTGTTAATTCAAATCATTCATATCGGCCACAAAACTCACGAAGATTGTGATTCAATCGTTTTTCTGAGGTATTGCCAAAATAGGAAACTATGGCCAACACTGGTGCACTTACCCTATATGAAACCGGCGTAGGGAGAAGAATGCACCACGAGCTAGAGCAACTTTATGACACACTCAGTATTCACAACGGGACACGATGTGAGAATTCCGGAGAACAATCCCGCAAAAATGGTGTTTGTCTTTAATCCGGCCGGTACAAGCCGTAGAAATGCACAGGTGGTTAGATCACACAGCAATAGCTTTGTAAATTTACGTTTGACACATTAATGTATTTTATTGCAGCAAAAAAAAACATCAATTTTACATGAAAGTATTTAATAATACGTTCATTTGCATTGAATTTATCATGCATGTGTGTTTTAACATCGATGTCAAATGTTCAATTTTCAACGAACCACGATATAAACGTGTAAATTTCAGCTTTAATTCAATAAATTTTAGATAGTTAAACGTGTAATTTTATATTTAAAAACCTGTTAAAATTTACAAAATACACACTTAAAGGGTGTCCACGATGAAATTGCCACACACAAAATTGATTCGCAAAATTCGAGTTTTCATCCGATTGCCATCAAATTTTCAGGGATTGAGAAATAACTATTAAACTTCATTTTACCATTTTACTCGTATTTTATTTACAGTCCATACGCAAATGCCCGCACCTTGGCCTTAACCCCGGCCATAAGATTCTGCACAACCTGTGAATCAACCGTTTTTTGCATGTAAACCCATACTTTCTTCAGTTCCTCAACTGTCTTCACTACCTTAGGTCGTTTAAGAAGGTGCTGCTTCATAATCGCCCAGTACTTCTCGATGGGGCGGAGCTCCGGAGTGTTGGGAGGGTTGAACATTTTCGGCACGAAATTGACCTTATTGTCCGCATACCACTTCAGCACGTCCTTGGAGTAGTGGCATGAGGCCAAATCCGGCCAGAAGATTGTTGGGACGTTGTGGGCCTTCAGGAGAGGAAGCAGCCGCTTCTGGAGGCACTCTTTTATGTACACCTGTCCGTTCATCGTGTCCTGGGTCACGAAAGGTGCACTCCGCTTCCCGCACATGCAGATGGCTTGCCAAACCAGGAATTTCTTCGCAAATTTGGACATCTTCTGAGTCATGCTCCGGAACGCTGAACTTATCCTTGGCCGTGAAAAACAGGTTGCCGGGGATCTGTTTGAAGTCGGCCTTCACATATGTTTCGTCGTCCATGATGCAGCATTCAACTTTCGTCAGCATGTTGAGGTACAACTTCCTGGCACGGGTTTTGGCGGACTTGTTCTGCTTCTCGTCGCGATTAGGGGCCTTTTGTACCTTGAACGTTCGAAGCCCAGCCTTAGTTTTGGCCTTCTGGACAAAACTTCGGCTTAGGTGCAGCTTCTTAGCCACATCCCTAACGGAGGCGTTCGGATTTCGGTTGAAGGCCCCAACTACGCGGTTGTGATTTTTGGTGTTGTACGGAATACTTTTTCCTTCACTTCTGGGCTTCCGATCGGTGGTCAACCGTTCCTCGAACCGCTTAATCACTCGCGACACCGTGGAATTCGCGATTCCTAACGTTTTAGCGATGGAACGATGCGAGAGATCCTTGTTCTCGTGATGAATGCGCAAGATTTTATCACGCACGAGCTGTTCTTTCGACTCCATTTCCGCGAGTTTTGATCACAGGACTTTAAAACTTGCAGGATGTAAATAATGCACTATGAACTAAATCCACCCAAATTTTCATTACATTCTACCCAACGGTTAAAAAGTTAGAGCAATTTCATAGTGTGGCAATTTCATCGTGGACACCCTTTAGAAAAAATCATGTAAATTTAGGTGCTCTAAGAGTGACATATACGAGCGTCAATTTTGACATAAAGTTGAGTCGTAACAGACGCAAAATATAGCTCAATCAAATGTAATTTTCGTCGAGCAACGAACTTTTCAGTCTCGGAGCACTTAATATTACATGACATGTTTGTTTACGTCTCTTCTTTTATGTCAATGATGGATTCAGTCGCGTGTAAAATTAGTTATTTCTAAGTGTGTAGTTTTATCTGTACGTATGAAGCAACAACTAGGAAGTGTGGTGCTCAAAAACTAGAGACAAGGAGCTACGAACCAAGCTAGTTGTGCAGCAAATGTAGTCTGCTCGAAGGACGTTGAACCAGCAAAGGTAGCACTTCTGAGCTTGAGAAACCGACAAACCCTCAAAAACTATAGAAAAATAGTTTTAAAAGGTAAAAGAAGCTATTTAAACCAGTTTGACTCATGAGTCATATTTTAAAAGGGCGTATGTATTTTCATGGGTCCTATGTTTGATATTACGTATCTCAAAATCTATTGATTTTACCGAAATTGTATCCAAGGACGAGTTGTGGAGGAATGATGTTAAAACGTTTGACATTTTTTTTTAATTTATTAAAACAAACTTCAATCCAAGTCCTTGAAAAAAAAAAAGATATTCTCTTGGAAAAATGTAAGTCAATTAGAGGCTTTTAAAATAATTTTGATATGGTGCAAATAACAAAATCATTTAAAAAACCTTCCGACGGCCACAATACATAATCTGTTCATGCGGTGAAACATTGCATATTCTGCATTATTTTTATGCAAATCTGCCATATTCAGCACGAATGTTTGTTCAAGGCTGAGTTTCTTCCTTGTTCTCAAATAATTGGGCTAAACATTACCACAAATATTCCAACGTAAAGTCTGCAATATCTCAGTTTCTATTGAACATGGTAAAAATAGTTGTAGTTACTGCTCTATGAGAACACATAATCACAACAGAAAATAGGAAGGATGGGGTAACTTTATAAAGAAAAAAAAAATAGTTTCATTTTTTTCTCTGTCTCACATTCGTTTATCGCATTCACACACAGTACACATTTCTCCCTTATGTAAAATATGCTACCTGTGCTACAAATGGACCGATGTACTCAAAATGAATCTCTTTTTCTTACGACTACCAAGCATTGGTTAGGACACATTAGTCCTACCCTAGGACAGCTATCGGTCAATTGTAATCAAGGTTGCAAATACTCATTTCAGCTAAAATAATGTTTTTCGGAATAATAAAACCAAAAGATGGTATGATGGCATGTTTTACTTGTAACTTACAAGAAGAGGTTACAAAGTATGCGTTTGAAACATAAAACCTGTCAATTTTGCTTTCTATGAGTCACAATCAGCGATTTTCTGATCGCTGAGTGAGTGAGTGAGTGAGTGATTGAGTGAGTGAGTGAGTGAGTGTGTGAAAAATCGCTGATTGTGACTCTCATAAAGTGAAATAAACAGGTTTAATATGTCAAACACATTCTTTGCAACCTCTTCTTGTATCATACCAATTCAAAATATGATCATGGCATCTAATAATTTCATAATTTAAAAAAAAAAAACATTGATTTAGCTGAAATGAGAATTTGCAACCTTGATTGTAACTAAAATATGATTACATCTTATGTAACAAACAGCGACCTAAGATTTTTTCAAATAGTTTTTATTAGCTGCTCTTTCGGTCACTACCATCATAATGCTTATTATACACCTAAAAATCATCTGTTATACCTACAAACTATTGGCTGCTACATGCTCTAGACATCGACAGTAACGATTCTATGAAGATTCTAGAAAAAAAAAACTGATAGCCATACATCTAGTTTCTAACTGCCAGGCACCATGTCATAGTAATTGCTAGATAACCGCATAGGAAAACAACAACAACAACAACAACAGCACGATCTATGAATCTATCGTAGCCCCTGAGGCGTTAATGATATAATGATGATAAACGTGTGCATGACTGGGATGCTTGATGGCAAGAACGCACAGAAAATACTCCACGGGGAGCAAATGAGTGGTTCCATTCTGACAAATTCACACATTCTTGCTATGATTAGACCACCCCACTAGACCCGCCTTAGATGAAGGATGAATAAGATCGCTGCTGGCGCACTACGCATGTACACACAAAATAAAAAAATAAAAAAATAAGATAATGAAACATAAATGATACTTAAGAATATAAAAATTAACTACATCCGAAACATTACCCTTGTCTCTTATGTCTGGCGTCTTTGCGGCCATAGGATAGAGGTAAGGTGAAACGTGTTACGATTCCTTCTGGTCCAAACACGGATGACGGAATGTTGTCCAACGAGTCGGACAGCGAACGGGAATCCGACTGGTCATGCAGACTTGAGATTGGTTGGTGGTGGTATAGATGGTGGTTGTAGGTTGTGGTAATATAAATAATAGTAATGGTAGCAGTAGTTGTTGTTTTTGTAATAGTAGTGGTAGCAGAATGGTAATAGTAGAGTTGGTGGTAGCAGAGAGGATGGTTTTTGATTGTTGTTAAAATTCGCGCCCCAGAATTCATGTCGGTAAGCCGCGGTCATAAATAAAGAAAGAAAAAGAGAATTAAAGTTAATGGTTTGAATATTTAAATCAACTCTTCATAAAGTAGTCAAAAGCAAACAGAATACAAACTGAAACCAAAACCGTGAATGTTTCACCTGGGTGATGTTGTGGTCGAACGATGAATTGTGGAGCTTCAACCATAGGAAAACTAAATGTATGTACATTTGAGTGACAGACAATATCATTATTTACACCCTAGTAGAAATTTATAACATATTATGAAGTTATTCTAATGAACTATTGAAACTAGAAATTTATGATGACAATTAATGAAGATGGCATGACTATCCCTTTCGTGACGAACCCACACAATTGGATTAGTGATATTTTCATGATAACTTCTGTAAAATCTCATGGTTTCAACTATTTAACAAAAGGAATCTTTTGTTAAATAGAGAAACTAAAAATAGTTCTACAAAAAAAAATTACAGTACAAAAATATTTACCAAAAATCAACCATAGAACACATTTTCTCGTATCATCAAAAAAGTAAAGTAAAACGCATTAGTCAAAATGTGTTATTTATTAGGTAACTCTAGGTAACTCTTCATCTCGTTCATCAGATGTACATCATGCTGCCAGTTTTTTTTCAGAACTGTCTCCCATATTTTCTTTAATTGCAGCTTGTTATACGTAAGTTAGGCGAAAGACCATATGTATAATGGACGGTTGGCATAGTGTACGTTAGGCGTGGACAATAGACATAATCAATAACTACATCACTAAGTTTATCATGACCAAGGAATCAAAAAAAATATCAAAATGACAAAACAACAAACGATCAACGAGCCAAATGCTAACGTATTGTCAGTAACGACAACAATAATGACAATGTCCTCTTGCGTTCTTTTCACGAAAAACGGTGGAAGGAAAAATCAAAACTATGGTAATAAGGGTCTATCATTTCACCACGATCAAGCTATGTCATCAACTACAAATCTTGCAAGTAATCCTATCGTTTCCTTCCACCGTCACCGATCGAGATGTATATTATATTTATTAGAGAGACGTTATTGTTGATTGCTCGCTTTGTTTTGATTCCCTGATCGTGACTCATGGCGATTAACCATTCCGTACATTCCGGATCAATTTGTGTCGAATCAGAAGACACGCTTTTTTGCAAACTAAGACTGATTGATTTTTCCGCTGATAATTTTCCCTGAAAGCTTATAAAGATGTCGAATCATTTTATTCTATTCCACATTGGATTTTTTTTATTACGGCTGAAGTACTGAACTCTTGAACTGAGTAATAAAAGTAATACGGAATTTACAGTGTTACAACAAAACCGTGTAATTTGCTGGATCATAAAAAGTCGGAGAAGTAACCTTTTTATGAAAGTGATGATTAAGATACCCAACACGGATAAAAAAAACTTTCTTGCGATATGAAAACATCACAAAACGGATAAATAGTAAACGGGGTAACATTGATAGTTTTTTAAATAATTTTCTATTTTTTTTATTGCAATAAATGTTTTTTCAAATATATTTTTTTAAACAAGTACTGAGGATCCTAGCGTCAATTCGTCAGTAATATGTTTAACGGAAATTAAATAACGGAATATCAGTATTTTGATTTGGAGTTACTTTGATAATGCTCGATGAATGTAGAAAAAATGAAAATAAAACAATTTAGTTCAAGAAATATGACACTTGAGTATACAACTAGAAAACATTATAAGCAATAAGAATACATTAAATTTGCTATTAATATATTGAAAATTGATTTTTAATATGTTTGTAAAATATGTATTGTGTTTGGCAGGATAATATCTCAAAATGGGATTATACCATCTATTTTCTGTTTATGGCCGTACGACTGCGCCCATTGATTTAACACACCCCGGCTCTTTATGCAGGATGCGCTCCTCAAGCCGCTGCCATAAAATACTATCTAAGTTACACACCTGCGTATAATCCTTATGGGCGGGGTTGCAGCACGCTTATGAGCGGCGCGCTTCGACCGTCACCAAATAAGAATTTAGCATAAGCGCGACAATAACACATACTAGAGAGGGTCTAGTGTAAGAGAGGAGCGAACTGGCTGGTTTTGAGCAAAACAAACTGTCAAAGTCAAAAACTACACACGATATCAACGGAAATACCGTAAGCTGCAATATGGAACCAATGTTTCCGATTCGGAAAAAGCGCAGAGAGTAAATTTAATCATTATATTCTATTATCAAAGTTACCCGCATTATCAAAGATACCCCATTTTACGGTGCTTTGAAAAGAGTGACACCTGTGCACAGTGTGATCGAAGATGGCAAAATCACGAACTTCATTGAATTAATCATTTTGTTCGACCATTTTCCACAGAGATGGCGCTGTTCCGCTGGTAGGAAGTGATAAAAATCCTCTTATAGAAATTGAGAGAAGTGGGAATAATTCGCTTTCGGTGCACATTCAGGTGAAAAAAAGTGAACGACAACCTAAAGAAATTAATCAGGGACTTTGTCGTTCAGTTTTTTTCCCGGAAATTATTGTTAAACAAGCTACAATTAAATAAAAATAATTTTTCCTTATACAACTTTACCTGCTTTACTACCAGTCCCAGAGACCCAAAAAAAATCAAATTTAAGAGTGAAATTCTCTCTCACGAGCTCAATCTCTCAACATGCCATGTATTTTGTTGACACTCGATTTGTGATTTCCCTTTCACAGATTACAAAATAGAGTACCTGACACTACAAAACATGTCTGGTACCTCTATATATGCATTTGCTTTAACATTTGAAGTCCCTCCTCTTTTACATATTCTGCGCAAAAGATACTTTATGCCCCGCCCCATACATAAAATTCGGCGGGAAATTCTGTGAGGGGTGAGCTATTTTGGGTGCAGAATGTGTAAAAAAGGAGGGACTTCGAATAATAATCTAAATGCATATATAGAGGTACCAGACAGGTTTTGCACTGCAGTGTCCTCTGTGAACAATTATAGGAAAACAGATTGTGTCTAGTTTCCGATAGATGTCACCGCAAACAGCAGCTGTGACATCTGATGGAACGTGAATGCAGAAGCTTGACAAAATGATTAATTGTGACAATCGGTTTACTCAAAAAAGTTTCTTCAGATGCATTGTTCACATCAGTACTGCCCACAATCTGACAATTTCGAAAATTTATCATGGCCTACTATGAAAAAAATTAAAAACTATCTTTTTCGTATGAGGAGATAGAAGGATGTATTCTTCGGCAAAGATATAGAACTACTCAAAATATGAAACATTGTTAAAAGTACTAAATTCCCAAGTCTAATAGTTTGGGAGATATGAACAATTTTATTGGATACCCATTTAAATTTAGTTTTTAATTAATAACCTTTTGTATAATAATTTGACATGCAAACAATATTCCAAACAAATGTAAACAAAGAACAACTACATATGTTTGATAAAAATGGCAAAATACGAGAACACTCAACGTGACCCTATTCACTCATTTATGTATTGACGCTAATCAAACTTTCACTACTACTGCAAAGTCTAAGTTTAAAAAATAGTAGTTGAAATTTTGTTCCGGTTTGCCCCCATCTCCCCTATATATCAGAAAAAGGATAAAATAAAATTAAAATAGGGGAAATGTATATAATGTCGGCCTAAGTGTCCCTAATTTGGGCCCATACATAAATTCAGCAATCGACTAAATTTTCAATAGCAACCAAAAATATCCATTAGTACCGTCCCATATAGATACAAAAAATGGGACCTCCTTTAGCTCAGTCGGTAAAGGCACAGCTACAAAGCAAAACCATGCTGGAGGTGGCTGGGTTCGATTCCCGGTCCGGTCTAGGAATTTTTCGGGTTGCAAAATTTTTCGACTTCCCTGGGCATAGAAGTATGATTGTAAAGGGCGAACACGAAATTATTGCGACACATTCAACAGGGCATAACTTTTTTACCATTGGGTAAAAATCAACCAAATTTTGCACACTTTCTCATTGATGTGTATTGTGTACATGCTGTCAAACTCGAAGTCGTGTTTTTCGATTCAACGAAAATGGAGGTGAACCAACGCGAGTTGAGAGAACAAATTATTTCCAAACACCTGGAATTTCCTGACCTGTCGCACCGGCAGTTGGAAAAAATGTTGAACATTCACCACTCAACCGTCTCCAGAGTGTTGAAGCGGTTCCAGGAGCGGTTGACGTTGGACCACGGCAAAGGAGCTGGAAGAAAACCGGGACCGGAGAACAAAAAGACGGAGGGAAAGGTGAAGCGGATGATTAAAGCAAATCCCTACGTCTCAAGCCGTGATTTGGCTAAAAAGATCGGCATGTCGCAGAGCTACGTCCAGAATGCAAAGAAGAGAGCTGGACTACATACATACAAGGTACAGAACTTCCTAAACCGCGATGAGCGGCAACAATTGACGGCTAAAACTCGGGCACGGAAGCTCTACGAGAAGATGCTGACAAAATATGGCTGCTGTGTGATGGACGACGAAACGTATATAAAAGCCGATTTTAAGCAAATTCCGGGGTTGGAGTTTTTCACCGGCAAGAGCAAGTTCGATGTGGACGACAAATTTAAGAAGAAGAAAATGTCGAAGTTCGCCTCCAAATATCTCATTTGGCAGGCCCTTCTGCTCTTGCGAACTGAGGAGTGACCCGAGCAAAGTCGGTTAACAAAATGAAAGCAAATCGATATTAAAGTGTGCAGTTCCTATCATAATGAAAACTCATTTTGATTTCAAATGTTGCGACATAAGTCTGATATCATATTGTGCTTTCATTATGCAGTCAAGAAGCAACTTAACTTGAAGTTTTGTTGTTTACGTCTTGTTTAAAATTTAATTGAAATTCATCTGTCGTTGAACTAATGATTATCGTTTATCTGATTTGTTTAACACATTTTAGGTCCTTCGTGACTTGCCCGCGGTGAGATTGGAGCCTAAGTCTTTCAGCTTGAGAAACATGAATGGTAACCATTTACTCTAGGCCCGTATTCAGTTAAACATTATGAATGCAAAATCAGTAATCAAATTGATTTCATTGAAAGCAGGATTAGTTTTCCGTTTGCTTCAACAGTGTAAAATTTTGCTCTCATTTTTGCTGTGTTAACCGTTAAGTCAACCAAAATGAGATCAACTGGAGTATTCAAAATAAGTTACATCATAACAGCAAATTTTGATTTCAATTTGATCTTCAGCTTTGCTCGGGGAGCCTTTCGTGACAAAGGGCACAGTAAATGGCGAGATCTACAAATCTGAGTGCCTCGAGAAGCGCCTTTTGCCGTTCTTGCAGCAGCACGACGAAGCTCCGCTATTTTGGCCAGATTTGGCATCATGCCACTATTCTAAAAGTGTCCTGGAGTGGTATGAGGCCAATTCTGTCCATTTTGTTCCAAAGGACATGAATCCGCCAAACTGTCCGGAGCTGCGCCCGGTGGAGCAGTACTGGGCAATATTGAAGCGGGAACTTCGGAAGAGCAAGAAGACAGTAAAATACGAGAAGGACATGTTAAGAGAATGGAAAAAAAAAACTGAGAAACTGGTACCAGTTGACACTGTAAAGACTTTGATGGAGGGCATCAAGCGAAAAAGCGTTCAATTTTACACTCAAGGCTCCATCGATTAACTTTTCTTTTGATTTTTGAAGTAAATATATGTATAAAACTACCCTAAAATTTTGGTTTGATTCTAAACATTTTAAGAAAATTGGCATGACATTTTCGGTGTCGCAATAATTTCGTGTTCGCCCTTTACTTGCCACACAATTATACTAATGCAAAAATGGTACAGGTATCGAAAGCTCTCAATTAATTACTTTGGAAGTGCATCTAGAACACTAAGTTGAGAGCACGCATTAAACTAATATGCCATACGCAATAAGCTTGAAATGCGAGGAAGAAGAATAAGAAGATCTAGATACAATTGATAAATAGCAGATTTTTAGCGATTGAACCTAGACACACTGGGGTGCGAAAGCTGTCACGCTTCCCGAGCAAAGTTGATTAATAAAATTAAAGCAAATCGATATTATATATTATAGTGTTAGGACAAAAAAAATCGAAAAAAAATTAACATCCTGGACTTTTTAGCAATCATTTATATTCGTAGACTTTAGAAAATAATCAAAATTTCACAATCATAAAAAATGAGTGACTCCAAACTCTGTAGTGGTATGCGTGACTGCTTTCTCATCCCAATGGATCAGGCTAAACTACACTTCAACCAAATTTTCCATTCGTGATACTCGTAGATTCGACAATATTCAATGTATTGATATGTCATAAAACTGACATGGAGGAAGCGTGGCCATGTATGCTGATGAATAAGGATTTCCGTGATTATTTTTTCCTAAAAATATGATAAAATTCCTCATAAAATCAGGGTTTTATATAAAAATCCTGATTTACCCAGTTTTTTTTTATAATTCATTCTAATATTTTTATTTCTTCGCTCAGTATGCTCTCGAGAAATTTTATTTGCCGGCTCACGTTTACCTTCGTATAAGCAACTTCTGTATCATGCCGTCTGTTTAAAACAGTATCATACCACTTCTGAGTAATATTCAACATTTTCAGCTTGTTCCATATCCTCTCGCTTGACTTCTATATTAAAGCGGACACTCACATTTTTCCTCAACGTAACACCACGAGACAGTTTTCTTGGACAGTTTTCTTCATGTAATCCCTCCAGACATGAGGTTTGCAAATCCCAGTATAAAAACATGCTCAAAGTATCGGTTACACCCCTTTCCTTCTAACCCCCTCAATTATAAGTTCCAGAGAAATTTATGATTTGGGCGTAATTGCTTTGGTAAACAAACACGATAATCGCCGATTTCTTGCGAATTAAAGCTCAATCAATTCCTATACCTGTTTGTGTTTTTAGTTTTCTAGATTGAACTTTAAATCGCGAGAAATCGGCGATTGACGTGTTTGTTTACAAAAGTAATTACGCCTTAATCTGCGCGGAAGTTCATGTATACCTTTATACATATACTAACTTTCCCAGAACATGCCTACGCTATACAACAATAACAACTTATGGTAAGCTGTTGTTCTTCAATATGTCAAGATAAATCCCAATTCAAACAACGACATCAGGGGTGGGAAAAATATTCCCATTTTTCCTTTCCAACATGAATGGATGATATACAGATACGGTGAAATGGTGAAGAAAGTATACGCTTTGTATTTACAATATACTGTGCTTAGAATAAAAAAAGAACATGAATGAAAATTAACATACAAATCACATCACCCTTGCACACGTACACGCACAGCACGCTATTCTAGTATTATCTAGATTTGGTATCTAATTCAAGTACGTCTTCGATTTTGGGCATTCTTTTGAGTTGTTCATCGCACTAGACATGGTGTAGGTGTGAGTAGTAGGTATGATAATGGGATGATTGACGAAACACGCATAGTATGATTAATCCACAATGCATAATGTTGCCAATATCGCTTCAACAATTTAAATTGCATTGTGGAAAAAAGAGTTCAACATAAGATACACAAAACCCAAACAGGAAGGAACCGATAGAGAAGAAAACTCAAAGAAACGTAATCCAAAAAAAGCTACACCACACTAGATATTTGAACAATTGTTTATCTATCCTTATATGGTCCTACCTTAAACTGAGATCCGGCGAAGCACAGCGAACCGCTACACTGGGCATTTGTGGAACGAGTCGCATAGCTAATGCTACCTGATTCTTCCACAGATGTGCCAGCCAATCCCGTTGAGCTTCGGAGATTGGCTTCTTCGGAGGTGCAGAGCTTCGCAGCAACGAAGCACGGTTGTCACTGACGGGACTGTAAAACATAGAAACAAGAGAAGAAAAACATTGACCAATAAATTTACCCTGCCAATCTCAAACCATCAACAACTTACGTCGGATCAATCACGTTGAACAAACTCGTTACTCGTTGGTAGCAAATCGGCCACGCCTGTGCCACCGCCGTCGGACAGTGTTGTAGGACATGTTGACGCTCCATGAACCCGAACAAACAAACACTCCATGGATCGTACGTTTGACCGGAGGACTGCGAATGACATAGGGTAAGCGTCGAGGCTTTCGCAGAATCCTCAATGTGACCGACCGTCCACACACCACTATTGCGGTCCACGATCCATTGCAGATCTATTACATTGGCGTTCAACATCGCAGTCCTGTCGGCCTGTGGAAGCATATGAAGACATTTCTCGAGAACCTGGAATAAAAAAAAGAACGCAATAATGATATACACGTCCTCCTAATCAATTGGGAACCCAGTTATATAATTTTCCCTTTTTATCTCTGGAAAGATGCACAAAAGACATAGCATTTTAGGGTGACCAGCGATGTGCAAAAAATGCTACAAAGGGGAGTGGGTGCTTCATCAAACGTAAACAAACATTTAACGTTTGTCTACGTTTCATGAAGCACCAACTTTTTTCTCCCTTCCCCTAATAGCGTATTTTTCTACATGACTGGTCACCCTAAAATGCTACATCTTGTATATATATCCCCTCTCAATTGTGTATAGGATTCGACACCCGGAGTAATATTGAGCTATTAATAGGAATGACACTCATATTTTACTAACCTGTGGGCAGCACCTATCAATAACATCGATCAGGGGTGGCTCATTTTCCACAATACCAAGAGCTTTCATCAGAATTTTCACCTTTTGGAAACAATGGGAAAGAAGAAAGGAAAAAGAAACCATGAGAAATTAAATCCAAAATTTTAGGTTGTTTTGAAACGAGTTCAAAGCGTATATAGGAATTTAATTTATTTGCATATTTCAAAAAATATAATAAGAAAACCAATCACAATCAAGCGCATTTTTGTTTTGTTGAAATTAAATCAGAGTAGGTAGCTTACAATATAATCTCCCAGAGAGGCTACTCCATTTGGCATAAAGTCAATTGTCGTAAAGTAATTTTTCATCAGTTTCGTTTACCAAAAACTATTTGGTATAGTGGCATTCCGCATAACTATCATTGATAAAGTCATAGCATTGAAAACAAAATGCAATTTAGCAACAGGGTTTAATATACTAAATATCTTGCAGCCCTTGCCACAAGGTACCTAGTGCATAAAATTATTTTTCGATTCGATTCTATGTAACGTAAGGTGAAGGTCACTGCATACGTATTAAAGACTGCTCCAGAAAGTTTGGACGCATCCATTTTTTTTTTATTAATTACTTTATTTGTACAGGCTCAATCGAATAAACTTTACAGAGCCGTTTTTGTTTTACATTATTACTGCTGGACGCATTCAGTTTTCAGTGAAAATAATACACAAGTGTTGGAAGTTTTATTTGTATTTCATATACTGTTAAGATTAGATTAACACAACAGATGAGGGTTCTCAATATTTGCTATCTATCGATTGTATTCTAGCTGGCGCACCTTCTTGCGAAAGTTCTTCATAAGATTCAGCACAGACTTCTTGGAGACAAGTTTGGAATTTTTCTCCCAATTCTTTTCAAACTTATGAATTGTTTCAGCTGCGGAGACATGTTTTCTGAGATGTGCCTTGGTCATTGCCCAAAATTTTCATTTGGTCGAATTTGCGGGCAATTAGGATGATTCATGTCCTTTGGAAGGAATGTTACATTATTGCAGGTATACCATTCTACCATAAATCTTTTGAATCAAAAGAGTATTTCTAGGTGGCAAAAAACGCTCTTCATTAATAACAGTGAAAGCATTTTAGATAACATTACGCTCGGACAGACGTTTTTCAAATATTCAATAAAGAAGGGAATATTCTATTCTCTGAATATACGAGAAGAGATGGGAGTCCTTCCTTCTACGAATAGTATTCTTTTATATAAAGGGTGATACGGTCAAAATTTGGTCAAGGGAAAACGCGTGTAAATCGGTGAAATCGTTTATTTAAAAAATCAAATTAAATTTCTTTTTCAAGTTCAATTAGTATAAAATTCAGGAAAAATATTCAGTTAGGCTTCCGCTTTTCCAAATCCGAATTGCCGGGCCTTACGCTTGACCCCTGCCATCAGATTTTGTACAGCCACCTTGTCCACCTTCTTCGCCGCAGAAAGCCAGTTTGCCTTGAACTGCTGCTCGCCCTTAGCAGTTTTTTGGTCTTCTTTAGGTTCCGCTTGACAATAGCCCAGTATTTCTCAATTGGGCGGAGCTCTGGCGTGTTGGGAGGGTTCTTGTCCTTGGGAACCACCTGCACGTTGTTGGCGGCGTACCACTCCATGGCCTTTTTACCGTAATGGCAAGATGTCAAATCCGGCCAAAACAGTACGGAACAACCGTGTTTCTTCAGGAAAGGCAGCAGACGTTTATTCAAACACTCTTTCACGTAAATTTCTTGGTTGACAGTCCCAGAAGCTATGAAAATGCTGCTTTTCAAGCCACAGGTACAGATGGCTTGCCAAACCAGATATTTCTTTGCGAACTTTGACAGTTTCATGTGCTTGAAAACATCTGCTACCTTTCCCCTTCCTTTTGCCGTATAAAACTCCTGTCCCGGAAGCTGCTTGTAGTCGGCTTTGACGTAGGTTTCGTCGTCCATTACCACGCAGTCAAACTTCGTCAGCATCGTCGTGTACAGCCTCCGGGATCGCGCTTTGGCCGTCGTATTTTGTTTATCATCGCGATTTGGAGTCACTACCTTTCATGTAAGTCGATAGTCCGGCTCGTTTTTTGGCTCGATGCACGGTTGTAGACGATACACCCAGCTTATTTGCGGCATCTCGGAGAGAGAGGTTAGGGTTTCGCTTGAAACTACCGGCAACTCTCTTTGTCGTCTCAGCGGCTTCCGGTTTTCGATTTCCCCCCGATCCAGACTTCCTGGCTGTCGACAAACGTTCCCAAACACTTTAATTACATTTGTAACGGTTGATTTGGCAACTTTTAGCGATTTTGCCAACTTTGCGTGCGAGTAGCTCGGATTTTCGCGATGCGCGAGCAAAATTTTGATACGCTGCTCTTCTTGCTTGGACGGCATTTTGACAACTGAAGAGTGAATTCCAAAATCAAAATAGGAGCAACATTCTACACACACACACCTTCAAAATGAGGGGTGTTCAGGTTTTTTAAATGCAAAATTGAAAGAAATACGTCAAGTTGATATTGACCAAATTTTGACCGTATCACCCTTTAATGGTCTCCTCAAAAATATGAAAGAACAGCTTAAGTTCGAAAGAAGGGAAAATACCCAATTAATCATGATCATTCAAGCTAAGATTTAGTTCCTTTATAGAGAAAAATTGATACCGCCATATTACTCAGCAGCAATTGGACCATATAATATCATTTTTTTGCGTCAAATCAATATCTAATATAGCAAAGGGCCAGTGGTTCAGCTAGGATTTCTGCCTGGTTTTTTTTTCTTCAAATTACGTGATGAAAAAATCTAATTTTTATTTTTTAGACAATTGCAATTTTTGAAGATCTAGGATATATATGAAGCGATGCATTTAACAACATGAAGAACTGCAGTCTAGAATAAAATGTATATAGATCTAAGTTAGCCATGAGTATATTAATAAAAGATCCTGTAGTCTCTGTAGTCGCTATAACGAACTGGTCGTCTTTTTACTTTGCTCCATTCCTCCCAATAATAGAATCTTCTGCAACACCTCAAATATAGAAAAAGAATCATAACTCTGGGATCTAGACAACTTTTCTAAGACCTGGACCTGATTTTTTTTTTTTTTTTTGTATTCGGAATATTAGTATGCAAAAAAATACAATACAATTTAATGGACTTAAAAAGGTACTCAAAAATCTGTGACATGATTTTTTTCTCTCGATGTTTGGACAAATACTAAAGCTACCGGGGGTTAAAGATTATTCAAATTTCTGGCTTTTGAACAAATGTTCAGAGCTTGAAAATTTTCCTAGGCCATTTTTTGCCATTATACATTGAACCAACGGAAAAGGTAATTTTTACCTGAAAATTCGCTACCTCTTCAAAATAGGAATTCAATAAGGTTCACGTGCCGAACATAAAATGGTAATGAATTCCACTAGATTCACTGGACCAGTCCACATGTCAAGCTGGTGAAGGTTAGGTGAAATTCAAGTAAGTTTTTCGTGATTTCATGGTATGAACAATTTCTTGTCGTATTCGTAATTCAAAAATGGCGATAGAAGAAAGTGTACTTTCGTCGTTGTTGGACGAGTTGGAATTATCAGGCCCCTTCATGTTTTCAACCGTAAGTTTTATAATTTTTATAAATTAACACTCATTTATAAATTAAAAATGAAATTGCAGAATACAGGAATGGATTGTTCGAGGTGCTAAGAATCAACAATTCTCGAACTATAAAGGTGCTACTATACGGTTAATGTACTTCAACTTCGAGATCATTAGTGCCAATTATTAAAAAATGTAAATTAGTTAATTTTCCTAGAATGCAATCATTTGATGACTCAAATAAATCGGAATATGTATATATATATAGTCTATCATCAATTCACTTTATGATTACTACAAAATCCAGTAACTTTTACTTGCTCATTCCCGTAATTTTAAGTGATGCCAATTTGAAGATCATCGGAAAGTCCGATTAAATTTATGTAAAAATCATTTATTTCTATGTGAATCGCTCAAATGTAATCTCTCCCCCAAAACACGTATCCCAAGTAACAATTTTGGTTTCATGAGGGTTCTGTAGACCATGAATTGGACTTGTAGAACGCTTTAAAACCTTGATAAAACTTGCAATGTTACTTGGGATTATTCGCCTGAAAAGTGTGATGGAAAATATCTACGTGCCTATTCAGGTGAATTTTACGTAACTTGACTTGGACAACTTTCAAGATCTCAATGTAAAATAGCCAGAATATTGGGTGTAGAACTTTTTTTCGAAATCTCTGAATATTTATGATAAGTCATGCCAATTTCAAGATAAAAAAAATATATATTAGATGTCAACAGTAAACGTTTCCATATGTTCGCAACTCTTCTTGTACGACTTTACTCTGAGTTTGTTAGGTCAAATTGTTTACTCTCAACATTGGTGACTTTAGTGACTTAATTTTAATGAATAGTGACTTTAGTGACTTTTTGATGGAAAAAAGTGACTTTTTAGTGACTGACTTGAAAATAGTGACCAAGTCACAAAAAAGTGACCTGCTACCAGCCCTGTACATGTTGTTATCCCCCACCCATTGAACTGCCAACACTCGTGATACGCCGTGGAAATACACCCTCGGGATTTTTTGTTTGTTGTTTCGCCTTGGTTCTTATTTCGCAAATTTTTTGAGAATGGAATTACGTCCGGAGATTTTTTTGGTCTTCGTTTTGTTCGTTGTTTACACGTGAAATATCAATCGGCTGCATTTCAAATGAATAGGGCGTGAATGTATACTACAGAATCAGTACGTTTGGAATATTAAAACAATATAACTCGTAGTTCTGGTGCAAGGCGTAACGACTAGATGCATCATAAAGATGAACATTGGGAATGCGCCATGTAAAAGGAACCGTTTAAAATGGTTTGAAATGATGTTTTCTTCTACTTTTTCGAGTTTATAGAGTAGTTAGTGAACTGTTCTATCTATATGTGGCAAAATATGGTTTGTTTACATTTTAACTCTTCTGCCCCTTTTAAATGTTAGTCTAAAAATATTTGTAATGCATCGAAATTTTGAGCAACCTTACCATTTTATGTTTCTTATTTATTTTTTTGGG